CGGCGCTCCCTCAGTACTGACCCTCCATCAGTGCGGCGCTCCCTCAGCACTGACCCTCTGACAGTGCGGCCCTCCCTCAGTACTGACCCTCCATCAGTGCGGCCCTCCCTCAGTACTGACCCTCCATCAGTGCGGCCCTCCCTCGGCACTGACCCTCGGACAGTTCGGCGCTCCCTCGGCACTGACCCCCTGCATTGACCCTCAATAGCGCAGCGTTCCCTGGCCAGTGCACTTGGAAATGTTGACCTGGGCTCGGATTTAATTCAGACTTTCTGCCAGCGAATTAAACTGTGACGCTGAGCTGCACTCCCTCAACATCTTTCTACACGTGGAACACAGTTTCTCAATGCAAATATGTCTCACTGCACCATCTCAAGTGCTGAGTTCTTTAATTTGCAATGGGAGCAAACTTTACGCTGTACCTAACCTTTGCTGTCCCTGTCCTGGGAATGTTTGATGAGGCCAGTGTAGAGAGAGCCTTACTCTGTATCTAATCTCATGTTGCCCCTGTCCTGGGAATGTTAGATGAGGGACAATGTAGAGAGAGCTTTACTCTCTATCCCTGTCCTGGGAGTGTTGATGGGGAGTGGACAATGTAAAGGGAGGTTTATTTTGTATCTAACCCTGTGCTGTCCCCGTCCTGGGGGTGTTTGATGGGGACAGTGTAGAGGAGGTTCTTCATAAGGGCTGGTAATTAATTTGTGAGACATGTTGCAACTTAATTTTTTAATCCCTCTTGTTTTTTTCTCAGTTTCGAGCTGTCCCTTTGGGTCCAGTACCTCCACCCACTGTGAAGTTTGCCTATGGTGCTGTCCCTATGACCAAGGTAGGCATTGAGACTGTTGAGTTGTTTGTGACTTCACTATTCTCTCTGCCTGATTGCTGTGTTTATATTTCAGTTCGGAGCACTGCTGGACTTCCTGAATGTGCTCTCACCCGGAGGAGCTGTCAACAGCACCTACCCTTTGACCTTTGAGCAAATGCAACAGGTAGGAGGTCAGTGCATTGTGAAGGGCTATTTGGGCTAGATCTAGGTGCCAGTTTCACTCTAATACAGTGGGCATCAAGAGGACATGGCATGTATTTCTATGCGGCAGCTATATAGGGTCCTGGTGAGGCCACACCTGGAGGACTGTGTGCAGTTTTGGTCTCCTTACTTGAGAAGAGATATACTAGCACTGGAGGGAGTGCAGAGGAGATTCACTCGGTTGATTCCAGAGTTGAGAGTGTTGGATTTTGAGGAGAGACTGAGTCGACTGGGATTATACTCATTGGAATTCAGAAGAATGAGGGGAGATCTTATAGAAACATATAAGATTATGAAGGGAATAGATAAGGTGGAGGCAGGGAGGTTGTTTCCACTAGCAGGTGAATCTAGGACTAGAGGGCATCGCCTTAAAATAAAGGGAAGCAGATGTAGGACTGAGGTCAGGAGGAACTTCTTCACCCAAGGGTTGTGAATCTGTGGAATTCCCTGCCCAGTGAAGCGGTTGAAGCTACCTCGCTGAATGTGTTTAAGGCAAGGCTAGATAAATTTTTGAAAAGTAAAGGAATTAAGGGTTATGGTGAGTGGGTGGGTAAGTGGAGCTGAGTCTCAAAAAGATCAGCCATGATCTTATTAAATGGCGGGGCAGGCTTGAGGGGCCGGATGGCCTACTCCTGCTCCTAGTTCTTGTGTTCTTATTTAAATTGTGATAAAATGCAGATTATTGACAATGTTTAAAAACAGAATTGAATTAGTTTTCACACCACCAGCACGACTTCCCCACTGTCCCCAGTCGTCTTGAATCACACTGTAAATGAGCTCAGAATTTGTAGCTGTAGGGATTCCTGAGGAGCAGTGAGCTATGTGAGAAATGACAGGAAGGCAACGGCCTAGTGGTATGTTCACTGGACTGTTAATCCAGAGACCCAGGTAACGTTCCGCTCCCCCGTGTTACTCGGCCCGCTCGCTCTGCTCCTCCCTGGGACTCCAAGGGGGTTGGGGGAGTGAGAAAGGGTAAACCACAAAGAGGAGAGATAGAAAGAGGGTAAAATGGTAAAGGGACTGGTGAGCAGAAGAGCTCTGAGCAGAGCGTCCTATTCTGCCACCATCTTGACCAAGTCTAATAGAATTCCCTGTTCCTAAAAGTAATTGAGAAATCATGAGATTTTTAGGAATGTATAGTTTTTACAGGACATTTGTGCACAATTTCAGTTGTGTTTGAAATTTAACAAATTTGTTGAAAAAGTAAACAAGCAAAGGTGGCATGGTCAGCAGACTGCCTCGTAGCCTTTGAGAAACTGAAGGCAATCTGAATAAATGAACCTGTGTGGCCACCCTGGATTTTTCCAGACCTTTCAAGATAGGAATTGGTGCTAGCAACCTGGGATGGCTATTGTCTTGTTATTGGGTGAGGAGTCAGGAACAGAGAAGCCAGTGGGGTAGTTCCTTAAAAAAAAACTAAAGCAGTGTCAGATGAAATATTCTACCATGGGAAAAAGTGTGAGCATTGGAGATGATGACAGAGCCAGACATGACTCTGACCCGGTGAAGAGGAAGAGTGAGGATTGTTGATGCTTCTGACTCCCAGCATCCTGTATGTTTCAGTATTACGGGTTTATGCTGTATCGTACACAACTGCCTCAGACCATTGAGAAAGCTCTTCCCTTGGTGCCAGAATTGAATGGAGTGCATGATCGAGGGTACGTCCTGGTTAATGGGGTGAGTGAGTGATGATTATTTGATTGTCATTTTAAGGCTTGAACATACTTGGCCATTAGCAGTGATCAGTGGGTGAGAGATGTTTCCTGTCTATATCGCAGGTATTTCAGGGTGTGTTAGAGCGTGACAGTGTCCATTTATTAAACATCACTGGCAGTAAAGGCGATTCGCTGGACATTGTGGTAGAAAACATGGGCCGCATCAACTTTGGAAGCTGTCTGCTGGACCTCAAGGTAGAAGTGTTTTTTTAAAAAATTCAGTCACGGGAGGGGGACGTTGATGGGCGGTCCAACATTTATTGCTTGTCCCTAGTTGCCCTCCAAAATGTGACGGTGAGCTGCTTTCTTGAATCGCTGCAGTTTGTGGGGTGAGGAGACCCCCACAATGGCCTTTAGGAGTTCCAGGATTTTGACCCAGTGACCCTGGTTCTCTGGGGGACACTCAGGGATCCTGGAATCTGCACAGGATTTGGAGATGAAGGTAGGTTTAGTCCCCAAGTACACACCATCAGACAATGCACTGTAGTAGGGTGAAGTATGGGATGTCTTTGGAAGGCATGTCGGTTTATTAACTCGTTCCTCTTCACAAAACCAGCTGACTCTTCTTGAAGCATATTTCCATTGGGACCACTTACTTCCCATTAGTATGTGAGGGGAGGCATGATATCCAACAACAGGGGGCATCACAGCTGAGTCCATTGTTTCTGAAATAAAGACAAACTGCTCGAAAGAGTCACATTGGATTTGAAATATTAACTCTGTTTCTCTTACACAGATCCTGCCGCATTGGTTTTTATTTCAGATCTTTAGCATCCACAGTATTTTGCTTTGATTGTTTTTGAGTAAGGGTCACAGGAAAAGGGGAGTCGGGGTGGGGAACCACTGTTCAGTGAGTGGGAGCCTTGGGGGATTTCTCCTCTCCATCTTCTTTGTACAAAGATAAAACCCTACTGAAAACATGTCACCTGTCTCATGGAGCTTAGTCCCACGCTGGATGGGAGTGGATGACAGTGCTGGTGCTGCAAACAGCCTTTTCTTGCTCTTACATCCGGCGCTGTGTACTACAGCAGACAGGATATAAACTCCTGCCATCAGTGCAACAGAAGCTGCACTGAGACTCTGCCACCTTGGAAAGTCGAGGTTGAATTCATCCCTTCTCTTTTCCTGTACAGGGCCTCGTAAGGAACCTTACACTCGCTTCTACCATCCTCACCAACTGGTCCATGTTCCCCTTGGCAATAGACGATGTAATTGAGAATGGCTGGCCACATTCTGTACAACAGGAAGATGTGAACTCGATGGCCCAAGGCCCTGCTTTCTATTACGGGACCTTTGAATCACGAATGGCTCACGACACTTACATCAGGCTGCAAGGCTGGGCAAAGGTGAGTATAGGAGGAGAAAAGACCCTGCCCTTTTTCCTGCACCTGCACAGGATGTTGCAATGATTGTTGAGATGTAGTGTGTTTTTGAGATGTTGGCATGATCCAGAAGGTGGAATAGATGAGGGTGTCTTCCTGCTAACTCTTTGATCATCTTTCAGGGCCAGATCTGGATCAATGGTTTTAATGTGGGGCGTTACTGGCCGGAAAGAGGACCCGAAGAGACTCTGTATGTGCCCAAGAACATTCTGAATGAAAACTCCCCGAACAATGTGACAGTGCTGGAGTTGGAAAGAGGTCCTGCCAAACCTTCAGTTGTATTTCAGGATCATGCAATCCTGACCTCAAAGGGCTAAGAGAAAGGAGCGATATATTGCTATTTATGTCATACTGCTGCAAGCTCCTAATCTGTTTGAGTGCAGCAACAGTTAATCTGTGTCCTGCTGCCATTATTTACAGGTGCTATATACATACTCATTTAAACACAAAGACACAGGAGCCATTAAAAATAATCAATTAATTAAACTAATGCTTGGAGCAGCATACAGCAATGAGCAGGGATAGTCTTGGGTCCGAAGCGGTACAAAATGAATGTGCCAACTCCATCCTGCACTCTGAAGGGCTCAAATGTAGCCAGCTGGCTCTCTGGGATGCAGCGACCTGCACAAACTAGCTTTTGCAGCAGGTGTGTAGATGTAGAGGGCCTGATCTTGCCATTCCAGGCACTCATACAGGAGTCACAGGGCAGCGAGACGGAGTATCTCCCACTGCAGAAACTAACTCCCCTGCCCATCACTTCTGCAACTGTGACCTCAGAACTGAGATGACCATGGATCAGGGCAGACCATGGATCGTTCTGATCAATGGGGCTTAGTACCATTGTCTTAGCCAAGAGACTGGTTGACTGTGAGACTGGAGGGAGGGGATAGTGTCTGTGTTGGTGGCTGATGTTGGGGAGTCCTGGTTTATCACTGCGAATTCCCAGGACTGACCCCTGTAAATTCGTCTCATGAGAAGTTTTAAGATCATTGCAAAACAGTCACAAAGATTGCATCATGTGATTACCTTTGTATTGTACAAACTTCAGTAAATAACCAGCATTATGGAGGAAGCATTATTGTAATTGGATTTGTACAGCATCTTTTAGCACCTCCAAATGTCCCAACATAATTTACAGCCACTGAAATACTGACATGAAATAGGTGTAGTCACTGTTCTAAAGGCAGAAACAGCAAGATAAACAAGCTAAGGTAAGCTGTTTCAGTGCCTGATGGATAAGTATTGGCCAAAACACCAGAGAGAACGACTCCTTCTCTTCACATTAGTGCCTATGACATCTTTTACATCCAGCCAGACCACAGGGCAAACACTTTCAGGAATTGAGTCAATGTCTTAGGTTGTGTGCAGGACAGCTTCTTAGGTAGTCCTGCTCCTTTTCCTATTGGCCCACAACCAGAGTTTTATTTATATTTCTGTTAATGCAGGACAAGAACAAGAGTTGAGCCAAGTGGGAAACAGCAAATCCTTCTGTAATTCAGAACCTCAGTAAGAAAGGAGCAAAGTGAGAGAGAATAGATCAGGCTCAGAAGTGAAACAGATTGGGCTGACAAGTGCCAGGCAATGACCAACTCCAAAATGAGATGGTCTAACCGCTGCCCCTTCACATTCAGTCGCGTTACCATCACTGAATCCCCCCACTATTAACAATCTTGGGGTTACTGTTGACCAGAAACTCAACTGCACTTGCCACATAAATACAGTGGCTACAAGAGCAAGTCAGAGGCTAGGAATACTGCAGCAAGTAACTCACCTCCTGACTCCTTAAAGCCTGTCCACCATCTACAAGGCACAAGTCAGGAGTGTGATGGAATACTCCCCACTTGTCTGGATGGGTGCAGCCCCAACAACACTAAAGAAGCTTGATTAACACCGCATCCACTCCCCTCACCACCAATGCTCAGTAGTAGCAGTGAGTTCTATCTACAAGATGCACTGCAGAAATTCACCAAAGGTCCCTATACAACACTTGCCAAACCTAGGATCACTTCCATCTAGAAGGACAAGGGCAGCAGATACATGGGAACATCATCACCTTCAAGTTCCCCTCCAAGTCATTCAGCATCCTGACTTGGAAATATATTGCCGTTCCCTCACTGTCACTGGGTCAAAATCCTGGGATTCCCTCCCTAAGGGACATTGTGGGTCAACCCACAGCACATGGACTGCAGTAGTTCAAGAAGACAGCTCACAATCACCTGAAGTTTGGAAGTGAATGCTGACCCAGGCAGCAACATTTGCATCAAATGAGTGAATTAAAAGGAGGGCTGTAAAGGCATAAGGGGAGAGAAGCATGTTGAGATGAGTCAGTACAGCAACACCAGCTGCAGATAACTTCCAATCCACAATGAACACAAAGTTTATATTGATCCTAGCTTGCCAGTGGATTTAAAGAGGGACTATTCCGCAGCTATGTTTGATAGTACAGGGGCACCTCAATTTACCAATGTCCTGCTTGGAAACACGATCCCATACAGGAGTGTAATTTTATAGGTCTAACACAGAAACATTTCCTGTACTGTCCTGCATTGTGTTCTGACTTGCGTACAAATCAACTTGGAAACAAACTCAAGAACGGAACTCGTCTGCAAACTGGGGACTGCTCCAATGACGAGAGGCATAGATAGTGTGGATAGTCACTTTGCTTCTTATTTTCAGCGGCAGCCAGAGTGCCGATGGGAAGGTAAGGTTTTTTTCCCTGTATAAAAACTTACCTCGTGCAGCAGTGACCTTGTTTTCAGCGGTGGGTGTGTGGAGAGAACGCGAACCAGGAAGGAACTGATATATTCGGGCATTGGCTAAACCCGAAACACTACACATGTAGTGTCTCCCACCCATCCTCCTCCTCTAACCAAAAAAAAGTGTGGAGGGTCGGTAAGATAAGGCTTTTTTTTTTATTCTTCTGGAAATCTCAAGTAGAGGGAATGGAAGCTAGGGCAGTTGCATGCTCCTCTTGCAGGATGTGGGAGGTAAGGGTCACTGCTGGTGTCCCCTCTGACTTCACCTGCGAGAAGTGCATCCAACTCCAGCTCCTCACAAACCGCGTTAGGGAACTGGAGCTGGATGAACTCCAGATCATTCGGGAGGCTGAGGAGGTGGTAGAGAGGAGTTATAAGGAGGTGGTCACACCCAAGGTACAGGAAAAAGGTAGCTGGGTGACTGTCTGGAAGGGGAAAGAGAATAGGCAGACAGTGCAGGGATCCCCTGTGGCCGTTCCCCTCAATAATAAGTATACAGTTTTGGATACTGTTGGGGGGGACGACCTACTAGGGGAAGGCCATAGCAGCCAGGTCTCTGGCACTGAGCCTTGCCCTGTGGCACAGAAGGGAAGGGGGGAGAATAGGAGAGCAATTGTAGTGGGGGATTCAATAGTAAGAGGCACAGACAGGTGGTTCTGTGGACGCGAATGAGATGAAAGGATGGTATGTTGCCTCCTGGGTGCCAGGGTCTGTGATGTCTCGGATCGTGTCTTCAAGATCCTTAAAGGGGAGGGTGAGCAACCAGCAGTCATGGTTCACATCGGTACCAATGACATAGGTAGAAAAAGGACTGAGAATGTGAAAAACGAGTACAGGGAGTTAGGTTGGAAGCTGAAATCCAGGACAAACAGGGTAGTTATCTCTGGATTACTACCAGTGCCACTTGATAACGAGGTAAGAAATAGGGGGAGAGTGCAGCTAAACACGTGGCTACAGGGCTGGTGTAGGAGGGAGGGCTTCCATTATGTGGATAATTGGAGCACATTCTGGGGAAGGTGGGACCTGTACAGTAAGGATGGGTTGCACCTGAACCAAAAGGGCACAAATATCCTGGAAGGGAGGTTTGCTCGAGCTGTACGGGATGGTTTAAACTAGATTGGCAGGGGGTGGGGAACCGGATTTGTAATTCAGAGGATGAGGTATTCAGCCTTCCAACAGATACAACAGGGAGTGAGGTGGTTTATAAAGAAATGCGGTCGATGGAGCGTAATTGTGGACACAGAGATGGTTTGAGGTGTGTATACTTCAATGCTAGAAGTATCAGAAATAAGGCGGATGAGCTTAGAGCAGGGGTCAGTACTTGGAACTACGATGTTGTGGCCATTACAGAAACTTGGGTAACTCAGGGACAGGAATGGTTGTTGGAAGTTCCGGGATTTAGATGCTTTAAAAGAAATAGGGAGGGTGGAAAAAGAGGTGGGGGAGTGGCATTGCTAGTCAGGGCGAGTATAGCAGCTACTGAAAGGCAGTTCGAGAATGATATGTCGACAGAGTCAGTTTCGGTTGAGGTCAGGAACAAGAAAGGAGCAGTCACTTTTACAGACCCCCTAATAGTTGCAGAGAAGTGGAGGAGTGGATTTGGAGGCAGATACTGGAAAGGTGCAGAAGTCACAGGGTTGTAGTCATGGGTGACTTCAACTTTCCAAATATTGATTGGAAACATTTTAGTTGCAATAGTTTAGATGGAGCGGATTTTGTCCAGTGTGTTCAGGAAGGATTCCTGACACAGTATGTAGATAAACCAACACGAGGAGAGGCCACTTTGGATTTGGTGCTTGGCAATGAACCGGGCCAAGTGTTAGACCTGTTGGTAGGAGAGCATTTTGGTGGTAGCAATCATAACTCTGTTACTTTTACAATAGTCATGGAAAAGGATAGGTACATACAGCAGGGTAAGGTTTATAATTGGGGGAAGGGTAATTACAATTCTGTTAGGCAAGAACTGGGTAACATAAAATGAGAACAGATGCTGTCAGGGAAGAGACTATAGAAGTGTGGAGATGGTTTAAGGAATGCATACTGCGTGTGCTCGATATGTTTGTCTCTAGCAGGCAGGGAAGATGCGGTCGAGTGAGGGAGCCTTGGTTCTCAAGAGAGGTCGAACGACTGGTTAAGAGGAAGAAGAATGCTTATACAAGGTTTAGGAAACAAGGAACGGAAAAGGCTCTAGAGGGATATAAGTTAGCCAGGAAGGAGCTGAAGAAAGGGCTTAGGAGAGCTACAAGGGGGCACGAGAAAACCTTGGCAGATAGGATCAAGGAAAACTCCAAGGCTTTTTACACGTATGTGAGGAATAAGAGAATGACCAGAGAAAGGATAGGGCTGATCGAGGATTGTAAAGGGAATTTGTGCACAGAGCCTGAAGAGATAGGAGAGGTCCTTAATGAATACTTTTCTTTGGCATTCACAACTGAGGGACCTAGTTGTAGAGGAGGACAGTGTGAAACAGGCTGGTAGCCTGGAGGAGGTTGATGTTAGATATGCTAGGAATTTTGAGGAAGTTGAAGATAGATAAGTCCCCCAGGCCTGATGGGATTTATCCAAGGATTCTATAGGAAGTGAGGGAAGAGATCACAGGGCCTTTGGCGATGATCTTTTCATCCTCATTGTCCACGGGTATAGTGCCGGAAGATTGGAGAGAGGCAAACGTCAGTCCTTTGTTCAAAAAAGGGAATAGGGATAACCCCGGAAATGACAGGCCAGTTAGTCTTACGTCAGTGGTGGGCAAATTATTGGAAAGGGCTCTGAGAGACAGGATTTATGATCACTTGGAAAGGCACAGTTTGATTTGTGATAGTCAGCATGGATTTGTGTGGGGTGGATCATGCCTCACAAACCTTATTGAATTCTTTGAAGAGGTGACCAAACACGTGGATGAAGGTAGAGCAGTGGATATGGTATACATGGATTTAAGTAAGGCGTTTGATAAGGTTCCCCATGGTAGGCTCATGCAGAAGGTAAGGAGGCATGGGATAGGGGGAAATGTGGCAGATTGGATTCAGAATTGGCTGACCCTTAGAAGACAAAGGGTGGTAGTGGATGGAAAATATTCAACATGGTGCTCAGTTACGAGTGGTGTACCACAAGGATCTGTTCTGGGTCCTTTTCTATTTGTGATTTTTGTAAATGATTTGGATGAAGGAGTAGAAGGGTGGATTAGTAAGTTCACGGACGATATGTGGGTCGTGTTGTGGACAGTGTGGAGGGTGGAGGGCTGTTCTAGGTTACAAAGGGACATTGATAGGATGCAGAGCTGAGCTGGGCTGAGAAGTGGCAGATGGAGTTTAACCCTGAAAAGTGTGAAGTG